TGAGTAGGTTGTGTGAAGACGAAGTAAAGTGTCACAAAATATATTGGCCTACTCTTTAGTATTTCCCTCCGTCTTTTATCTGATAAGCTTTCAGCCGTTTAGTGAGCTCATTATTTTAGTGTTTACTATACCTTGAACATTTAAAACCCCTTATTAAGCATCTATTTATTAAACAGGTCCCATTATTTTTTAGTAGTAGTAGTTGTGGTGGTGGTAGTAGTATCCAACATATTTGTTTATTTTTAATACTTTTGGGAGTATTTACCTTATTCACTGTGCATAATTAATATTCCATTTTATTTTTGTATTTCATGCGAAAAGATTTAATTGAAATTTGCATGGAATTTATATAAGTAAATGCAATTGCTTTGAAATCTATTTTATAATTATTACGCTTCGAAAATATCAGTGAGTATTATTATTACTACAAGTAGTATATAATATTATATATATATATATATACATATATATACATACATATACATACATATACATACACGGTCTGTTCGTGGTGGAGAAAGTCACGTCAGGAGAGGCAACATTTTTGGACCTCATATTGGCTCAGGCTATGCAATTCTTCCGCGCCACAGCAATAAAGTGGATCCCATCTTTAGTATATTCTTAAAAGTACCTGCTGTACCGGAGTAAAAAGTGAGCCATCATGTATAAAACTTATGCCTAAGGTGATTCTTTATTTAATAAGGAAAACTCCTATGAGAAGATGCTCATCTGTCATGAAATTGGCTGGAGCCAAGACTTTAGGAATTATTAAGCTTTCCTTTTTATGTAGAGGTCTTGTCATGTAACCGGCAAGCTGACTTTTGTCCGAAAGATGCTTCTTTCTGTATGGCTTTTATAAATACTTTTGCATACCAAGCATATATGCCATATTGTCGTTTTATGAGCATATTTTGTAATTAGGCTGGTCTAGCAACAGGTGAAGTCTTCTGAAAGGATATGGATAACGACTTCGTGGCTGCTTTTCATGATTCTGTCTTGTTATGACAACGAACATGACTTACCCTAGGGTCCAGAGGTGCGGCGTCTTTGTACAGGTACCAAAGTCGAGAATCATTGCTATAGGACATCTTGAACCGGGTCACGTATTGTGGCCGCTTACCGTCTCCTCTGCCTTTGATTATCACTCCATTCACTTGAGTTGGAGGGCCCAGGTCGATCTGAAGCCATTGCTTGGCTGAAATAAAGTGGAATATGCGACATGTTGACAGATTCCAAAGAAATAACAGAAATATGTAAATTGAACAGAAAAAGCGTAAGGGTGATGGGAACCGAGGGAAAAAAGGAACTAGAAATGACTAAATTGGCAAGAGAAGATTAAACAGCCTAAAGTTAAGCTTAAATTGCTGCTATAACAAGAAGTTCTACTCATCTTTCTTAACTTGGAAAAGAACAATTCAATTTAAAAAAATAACGCAGAGTCATTTGGGAAGTTATTATTTATTAAAGCATTGGCTAGATGCTCTAATTTAATTAAAGAAAAATAAATTGAGGTAACTTTCCAAATAACCTTTTATTATCGTTCCATATTAAAGGAGTTATGCAAATATTCATCCGGGTCAGATATAAATGACTTTTTGGCACACTTCTGTTGCTGCCAACCAGCGATGCTTATTCAAAAAGTGCTGAGCAAATGAATTTTGTAAGATTTATTCACCCAATTTCGTTTAAGGTGATGAAGGACTGGTAGAAGAAGAATTTTCCCACAAATGATATGAGTTGGACTGACGCTTCCATTGAATATTTACATAGCTTTGCATTCCCAAAAGTTCTTCTCATCCAGGCACCAATGGACTGCAGTTTCGAGCTCGCATTGGTCTTATCAACACCCTCAGCGGGACTCGAACCGTGATAGTGCAGGACGGTAACTTGACACGCTAACCACTCGGCTACACTGCCACGAGCGCCTTTTGGGTCACAAGGCAAATGTGAATTTTCAAGGAAGGCCAGGCCTTTTTGCCATATCATATGTTTTTTTGTGGAATTGTCGATGAAGCAAACGTATGTTTTGCTATAACAATCGTCTATTATACTTTATTTTTCAAATTAAGTATCGTTTTTCGTGACTACCAGTAAATCAGTTATAAGATTTATTCACCCAATTTCGTTTAAGGTGATGAATGAGAATTTTTTACTTCTACCAGTCCTTCATCACCTTAAACGAAATTGGGCGAATACATCTTATAACGGATTTACTGTCAGTCACGAAAAACAATACTTAATTCGAAAAATAAATGAATTTTGAATCCAGCTAGATCCATAAGAAGTGTTTGCGCCCTCGAGATAAAACAATTATTACCCAGCAGGACATGAC